GCCTTTCGGCATTCGGTTTTCGGCCAACTGTTTCCTATTTTCGGTATCGGTTTCGGCCAAGAATTTCCCATTCGGTGCACCCCTAGTATATATAAAGGTTAAAACTAAATAGACAAGTGTTAAGTGGGATAATACTGTTGAACAAACGGCTTCTGTTTGAGGTTGATAAAATAAGGTTACATCCTTGTAACTTAGAGATATTTTATTATATAGGTAGAACTGTATGCATCTAAGGTTAATTTAAATTGGCTATGCTCAAGTATGTAGACAAGCTAATGTCGAAGTAGTGTATGTGAAATCAACCTCACAATAAGATGTGTGTATATTACAATTATTAATGTCATATTTCAAGATGATTACTTAGATATTACAATATGGTTGGTTGAGCTGGAGTTCATTATCGAGCTTACACGTTAACGTCACAGTCATCTGAAGAACGAACCCAAACCTTGTTGTTTTTATTAATTGCATTACCAAATGGGTATCAAATAAACAGTAAGCATTGGTAACACAATTTCCAAAGTTACAGTAAAATAAAAAGGACCCTGACTCGGACAATACACAATCCAACATGTTCAACAGAAGAGAATCAGTTATATTGTTTGTACACATGGTACTTTACATATATATCTGTTTGTTTAAAGTGTCCAGGTGATGCAGACAGGCTGGACCAGAGAGTGAGAGACAGAACTGGACTCCTCACAGCAGTGAACTTCAGCACAGGTACAAAGACTCTTTTTTCATACTGTACAAAGAATCAAGAAAGATATTGGTTTAAATGAATGAAGTATTGACTTGAATACACTGATATACATTCCATTAAACAATACTAAATACTAGATCACCTACATATCAGTGAAGTTGAGGGTTTTTTCCATGCAAAAAGTTACATTTAGATATTTAGCAATATGACTTTGTCAGCTTTCTAATTTAATGTATTGAAGGCAAAGATATGTAACACATAGTGAGAACTGCTACTATTTATCTCTCAATATTGTCTGTAAAAAACGTGGTAAAAGTTATTATTTCAGTGAGACAACAGAGCAAGCTTCTACAGTTGCACTACGTTTTGATAACAGTTAAATATTATTTTGATAATAACATATATTTCAATGTTGATGAATTTCATACTGTTCATTCATAATCTGATTGTCTTTGTAGCTCACTGTTGAAATAAAAAAAAAACATTACAATTACAAAATAATTATATCTACAGCCCCGAAACACACAAACACACCGCTTTCATAAATAACACACTTGTTCTGCAATAATATGTTTTATGTTTCCTGTCATTTTTGTTAGGAAAGGACATGCCTGAAAGACACGACATTTTCTCCTTCTCTGAGGGTCAAGAAGAACATCCAAGAGGAACATTAAAAGCTGATGTTATGAGATTTTAAGACCAGTACAGGACATTCACTAAGAAACTACTTTTATTGTAAAAACAGTCAGCTGATCGAATGCAGCTATTTCCACATCTACACTCCATCAGCTGATTATTTCTATTTGCCTCACTTTATGAGCTTCACAACATGTACCTTGTTTTGCAATGTCACAAATAAATGGGGCCAATCTTCAGTCAGATGTGAATGTGTAATCTAACATTTTCAGTAAGAATAATGGACAAAAGGAGTGCAAATACAAATACAATTTATTGAAATGTGAACCAAAAGCACATATGGACAGAAGGTGTAAACCTATTAAATGTATAAGTAAACACATTTAGTCAAATAAAGTGACAGACTAGGCCTGTGCAGTTGGTATCAGCTTTGCCCAGCATGGGCTCCTTCATCAGCCCTGGTCCTCCTCGCTGAGGAAAGACCCTCAGTCCTCTCCAAACCAACAGACAGGACGTCCATCACACGGAGGTTTCTCCCTGAAGTCTCTGCAGCTCTCTGGACACCATGCTATCTCAATCCGTCTACACTGAATATGAGAGGGGGAAAATGAAAATAATAAATGCTTTAGACAATAAGAAACATAAAGTTGACTGTTGAGTTGCTCAGTTTTTTTAGATTGTCAATACTATTACTGTATAACTAATATCTCAGGTTAAGAGGCACATTCAAATAAAGATTGGTCTTTAAATACATGTTATCTTTTGAATTGTTTGTCTAAAGTCAAGGATCTAGAACTGGTACTTAGTTTTAATGATACAGTCTGGTTATTATGCTGTTTGGAGGAGGCCTCACAGGTAAGAGCACTAACTAGCTACCATCACATGTACCTTAGCTTGACTTAAATGTATTAAACGTATAGTTAAGTGATATCAAAATATAAATAACTAATGTCATGCAAACATATTAATATTTGCTTGATTCCAGTGTTGAATTTAGCACAATTGCATACAAACGTTAAGGGATTTTAAGATTCTGAAGTATTATGCTAAAAACTCAATAACTTAGATTATTATTTATAGTTTCATGTCCGCTTACCTTAGAAATGTAAAATGCGACGGCAGCGTGCAGATGGGGAGCATGTTAGCTTAGCTTGGTAGCTTCAGCTAGCTCTGGAACTTTCAGCTCGGTGGCGGGAGGTCCCGCCGCGGCTCCGCCTCTTTGCCCTTATTTGGAGAAGGCGGGAGTTGAACTCTGGCGTCACTGTTGAGCCATTAGTGGCCGACTCCGCCTACTAAGGGCTTCACGGCAACTCTGCAGAATCCTATGGGTGACGTCACGGACCCTACGTCCATTTATATATACAGTCTATGGTTTTATCACTAGCCGAGATGCACGTGACAGGCTCATGGCCAATCGTAGCACTTGAATGCTATGAAGGGGCGTGTCTTGCATAGTGCTCCAGCCGGATCCCGATTTGCAGCGCATTAACACTTTATTACGGTTTTAATATTTTAATTGTATATCAGTGAATATAAAGAAGCTGTGCTTTGTCAATTGAACAAGGAAGATGAAATACCTGATTCAAAACATCAAAACTATTGGTTTGAATCGTGTGAACAAGAAATGAGGATCAGGGTGCTCGGGCGCTAGTGCGCTCAGCGGAGTTCGCTGTGCTTCCACTTCTGGTCTGGCCCAGCGGCAGCACATCTTGAACTACGCTGGGTGTTAGGTTTTGTGGACGGGCCGGGGCTGCAGTAACTCAGTAGTAACGCCGCAGTAGTCAGGTTTTAGGTTATCATGACACTGCACACCAAAGTACTCAGTCTTATTGACGGAAGACAGACTTTAAAAAAAAAGAAAAAATTAATTGAATGGCTAATGAAAAAGGAATTGCTTCAAGGAAAAATGAAATGCAAACTCTGCAAAAAGAGGATGAAACTGGAGAAACACTCAAACGTCGACGGACTGCAGTGGTAGGCTAAGTCGTACATTTTTAGCACGGGTTTTAACGATGACTTACTCTGTTTACTGATATGTAATGTTACAAAGACAAGTTCTTTATCAGGAAAAAAGGACTAGGAATTTACGATGTGTCTTTTGTAGGAAGTGCCGACGTAAGAAACACCGAGGGAAAACGACGAAGAAGTCAGTGAGGTCTTTGTCCCTGTTTCAGAGGAGCAAATTGTCCTTGTTCAGCTGGATGAAATACATTTACAGGTAATATGAATTCGTCAATAATATCAGTCATTTCCTCAAAGCACAGCAAATGAATGCCTGTAAGTATTACATTTATTTTAAAGGATACCTATCATGCTATATTTAAATGATATAGTGTATGACCATACCTATATAAGGTATATTTATACATTTTATTTTTCAAAATACCAAACGGATCATTTTTTAGCCATGCCTCGTTTCGCTCATTTTCGCTCTATTCCAAGCCTGTCTTTGAAAATTCTGAGCAGCAGCTGACCACGCCCCCCTGCAGAAGAGCGGGGCATGCGCCGGCGAGAGTCACGTTACCATGCTTGCTGTGATTACGTGTGGAATAAACATGTCATCTCAGAGCAATGCATGTGTTCAAGCATATTATGAATTTGATCCAGAGACTGACCCTGAAGCAGCGGAGGTTTTGGTGGAGGTGGAAACATCTCGGTTGCAGCAGGACGTTTCTGAATGGTTAGTTGACAAGCTGTTGTCCCTATTTATTTTACTCCGTTACGATGCTTGCTACTTATTTCCGTTCATATGTTGGCTAATTAGCAAGAATGCAATGTGTACAGTTTGTAACTTATAGTTTGTAACGCAAAAACAGCAATACATATTTATAAAGGGAGACATTCATATTTTCAGCATATATACAATGGCCTCATTGCGTTTATTAATAGTTTTCAGTCCTTTTCTTCCAACATCGTGCAACAACCGTTGGAAAGTTCAATAACTTAGGGTGATAAAAAGTATAACTCCAACAACACGTCAGTTGTCAGCAATGTGTGTAGTTTCATGTGTTTTTAAAAGCTCAGTTATTGACTTCTTTCTACAGGTGTACATGTGCAAATTGCGCCACGATGCCTTCTGAACCGGAGAATGTGTGCTGCATGGAGATACCACAGGTAACATTTTTGATAGCTTCACTAAGTTGTCTGTTTAGAGAATACATTTTTAACATGTCATTCAATATATCTTTATCACACTAGGTGTCAAGACGGATGCAGGAACTTGAAGACTCTGTTAACTGTATGGTGGACCATCCTGGATTGGAGCCTGTGTGCCTGAATGTGTTCTCCCTGCAGAATGCATTTAATATTTACAGAGCTGAACATGGTGGACTACAGTTGAGGCAAATAGAGCAGTGAGTGGTTTGTTTGTTTTGACTGAAATTGTAAAACGAATGCTAATATTGTTCATGGAAATAAATACTGGTGTATATGGCTTTATGCAATCTTTCATTGTACATGTACTATTATATATATATATATATATATATATATATATATATATTATTACACAGCAATGGCATAACACACCCAAGTGTACGACAAAAAAAGTCCACACACAACCTTATGCTTTTGAAATCAGAATATTCTTTACCCATCCAAACATAAATAATCACGACACATTTGATATCAACTCTGAACTTTATTGTCAAAATGAACGGTTCTTTGAACCCATAAAAAAAAACTAAATGTACTTGTATTATATATAAATGACACTAAATATATTTTTTAATGATTTCAGGCGTCACAGGTATCTAGCCTACAGAAGCTTTGTGAGCTGGTGCTGGGGCTTCCTTGGACGCAGGATCAGAGTGGTGATTCCGGCCTGCGTTGTCCTCAGGATTCGCAGAGAGTTTCCTGATCCGCGAAATATCTATGTTGGGTTCAGACAGCAGCCAAATTGAACCGAGTAGCATACCCGGAGATGACCTCCTCCCTGTCAGGTCGCTCATATTGGGAACACAGGTCCTCTGGGATGGGTATCTTCAGAAGCTCCTGTGTGAATGGTGCAGGGTCCACAAAGACTTGGTCGAAGATGAGGTCCATCAAGTTGGCCACGTAGCCTGTGCAATGTTAAAAAAAGCACAACAAAAAATGTGGTTTACATTAGTATATGCATGTACAAAACTGAAAGTTATTTTTTATTTATTTATTTTATATTTGTAAATAGTTGTATAATAAATATTTTAAACACTTACAGAATGTGGGGTCAGTCTTTACTGGTTTTGCTCTGCATTCTCCCTTCCTGGCCTTTGGGAACTGCAGTTTATACAGAGGCTTTCCAGTGGATGTAGTGACTTGTGCACGCTCAGCGTTTTCATTGTAGTGCAGGGCTGCCAGGTACAGTCTTTCATTTCCGCCATGAGTAAAATGTAAATAATAGCAAAGGATGTACAAATTGTCACTAATTAGTAAGTAACTATGGTTTATCTTACCTGCACAACATTCCAAGAAATGGAAACACAACATTCTTTGGAGCAAAGCGCAGGATGACGACATGGAATGACTCCAAAGATGAAGTCTGGTGGTGTGGGCTGAGTTTGGCCACAGCTTTCAAAATCCTCTTGGTTGAGAGAATTGTCTCCAGCTTGTGAAAGGCTGGCGTTCCTAAGAATTTGAAAATCAAAGTCATATTTGAATTGTCATGCTTTATAGATTGTGTCTGACAACATCCTGTATTCAATAGTTGTCCCTTACAAATATTTATAGAGGAGTAATGTAATATGGTTTATGAACAACATACCTGCAGCCATCCATTGGTATTGCGCAATGCGCAGTGGATGAAGGCACTTGGGGAACAGGGGGTCATCATGAGAGTGGATATCCTGCACGTGGTTCAGGATGGAAGTCCATTTGGCCACTCTCTCAGGCCCGGTGGTGGAGGTTGCTGCAGTCCAGTATATGTGGTTTCTTATACTCTTCACCCACCCTCGAAGTTTTTCGCAGTCCTTCTTTTTTGCAGCCTTCTCCAGTTGCTTAGAAATCCCTAATAAATACATTTAACATGTAGTTAATATACATACAAGTTTACTCAAAATATTATTATACTAATGTGATTGTAGGAAGCCGGGTTTGTGTCTAAATAAAATAATGATTGTATTTACAATCGATTTATTTACATGGAAATTAATATAAAGAAAAATACCTTTTTCTATGTGCCACACATCAAAGAATTGGGTGATGCTGCTTTCCCTTAGGAATTTCTGAATTTGCAGATGTCTGTCCGTGACAATACAGTCCAGAGTCACACCACGTTCCTTTAACAACTCCAGACTCCTTTTCAGGCCCTCTAACTCCATGTGGTAGCTTCCACCAACCTCATTGCTCTGTTATGACACATACAAATAACCATTGATACACACATTTTAAATATAACGTGCAAACAGTGTTAAAGAAAAAAACATTGATATTTCATTTCACCCCACTTACCTGAACCAACTGGAGGTCAACGACTTTGTTGTTCTTCAGGTCCATCATAGTGTAGCTTCCGAACTTTGCAGAGTGGCCTGTGAAAATATGTTTTACAGTAATTACTTTTCTCTGCGGATGGTGAATTTGTATTTTTGCTTGTAGTGTTTAGCATATGTTTTTCAGGAACCATTAATTGAACAAATCACACATAGTGAAACCCCTTTCTGAAATGTAAAATGTGAATTATATAAAAAATACATACCTGGGGAGTCAGCCCTCATATCACCACCAACTATCACTTTCTCCTCTGCATGGAGCTTCTGTAGCATGCCTTCCTGTGATTTTTGCCAGTAAGAAACAATCGCTGGCTCAATGAACATCCTGGCATGCCTTCGGAAGGTGTTGTATTTGCATAGCTGCATATTCATTGCTTTGAAGACCTAATGGTTGAAAGAAAACCGCAAGAATACATTTTAATCTCAAAGATCACCTGTAGATGTGTCAATGAGGAGAACCTGGAAAGTGCAAATGAGCTGCCCTTTTTTTTAAACAGGGAAAGAGCTGAACATGTCATTAGGGGTGCTTACTCTACAGTGCCCCTTTCACATCTCTTCTCTTTCTCCACACCACCCTCCCAAAAGATCTTTACATATTAGCATGGGTCGTTACCTAACAGTGCCCTATTCCCACCTTTTCTCACTCTTGTTATTGTTACCTTGTCCTATCTTATTCAACAACAACATTTGCATTTTCAAACATTGGCAAAACAATCTTCTGCAGTTAATTTACCTTTGAAAGTTTGTAGAAAGATGCTCCGTTGACATATGTTGCAACTGATAGCTGCAGGTTTCCAACTGGAGTACTCCCAAGAACAGGCTGGCTATTCCAGTTTCTTGTAAACTGACAATGGGGGCACAGCTGCTGCACTGATATGAATGTACCGATCCTTCTGGTTTGTACATCACACACACGCTTGCACACAGGACATGATTCAAAAAGCTCCATGAGGCAGGTCTCATACACGATGTATGTGTTGATCGTCTGGGGGGGGTTTTGTTCTTGACCACTAAAACAAAAAAATAGAAGTTAAGATCCATCACACAGATTGTTGCTTTAGAGATCTTTGGTGTTTCCCTATTATCAATGTTTGAATTATATACAGCAAAAAATACAATACATAGACAAACTCACACATAGTGATATTTCAGTAACTTACGACATGGCTGTTGTTTCTGTAGCATTTGTTATGGATTCTGCTGGATCATAAGTTGCATCCTGGCCTTCGGAAAACACCAAAGAAGAGCTTCCCTCAAATGGATCTTCGTATTCCTCTTCAAGATCCACACGGGGCCTCTTTGGTGGTCTCTTTAAGGGGGTGGATGTTAAAAAGGGCACTGGCACTTCCAACGGAAGTGTTTCGACACCAACGCTTCTGCAGGGAATTTTAGCCTGGACAGCTGTAACATAATTGTATTTGACATTAAAAACAAAACAAAAGATAAAACAAAAATATTTTACAACAATTAGAAGCACACAAATTAAAGGCTACAACATCAGAATGTCAAGATGTATCCAAAGAACATTTGAAAAACGTGCTTCTAACCTGTACTTCGATGTGAACCAAGAGTCCTCGAGGATAGCTGTGTACGAACAGTACGGTACTTGGGTGGGTCAGTCTGACATGCAGAATCTGTCAGAGGTGGGACCAAGTCATTGTTTTGCAAGTCCGAGTCAAGTCTCAAGTCTTTGCGCTCAAGTCCGAGTCAAGTCTCAAGTCATTGTTTTGCAAGTCCAAGTCAAGTTTCAAGTCAGGTTGGGCAAGTTCAAGTCAAGTCCAAGTCCTAAACTTTGACAAAACGAGTCATAAACAAGTCATTATGTGTTTTTCACCAAATGTAATGACATCGATCAACAGAATAATACTTAATAATCAAACAGCTCTTTATTAGTCACATTAATAATAATCAATTTTCTCTCTGCTGGTAAAGTAACGTGTGTTTTTCTAATTTAAGAGGGATCAGTAAGGTAAGGCTACCGTGACGGTTTGATTCAGAAGGAGTTTAATGTATAAGATCTCTGATGTTGAGGTAACCAGAATGTTTATTTCCACTGTGTACAACATGTTATAAGGGACCCACAATCTATCTTTATGCAAGGGATAATGTGCAGCCAGGCAGTCTCTATGGGGAAGAGAACACCTGCATCTAGATCCCTCTGCAGGTGGTACTTTAACTATATTTTGATGCTAATACTTTTGTACTTTTACTTGTAACATTTTGAATGCAGGACTTTTTATTGTGCAGGGTTCCTGCAGGTTTCGCCAACTCAAATGTAAGACTTTTTAACACATTTTTAAGACCACTTTGAATAGAATTTAAGACCTATTTCACGGCAATAACGTATGAAGGAAAATGTATATAAAGAAGAAATATGTCCCATAATCACTTACAAAGTAAATGTATTCATGTTCAACATAAGAACAATGACTGAACACAACAGCGTAACAGTACAGAACTGTGTTAGCGTGTTAGACAAAAAGTGTGTATGTGTGTGCTTCTGTGTGTGCTTGAGTGCGTGTGTGTGTGTGTGTGTGTGTGTGTGTGTGCGTGTGTGTGTGTGTGTGTGTGTGTGTGTGTGTGTGTGTGTGTGTGTGTGTGTGTGTGTGTAAGGGCTGTGCAATTAATCATATTTTAATCGCAATTACGATTTTGGCCTGCCACAATTACGAAGACAACATAATCGGAAAAAACGATTATTTTGCTTTGCTAGGTTGTGACGGTGCACTACAACATATTTGATCTAATGAATTTTTTAGTAATATATCATTTATTTAATTAATTTTTGTATTGGTTTTTCAGTTGAATTATACGTTCAGGGTAATCAACAGTTAAAAAGATACTGTTCAAATTATTATTTGTTTTAAAGTTCAATAAATGGATGTTTTCAAAGTCAATGAATAATCGTATTTAATAATCGTGATATTAATTATTGACCAACATAATCTTGATTATTGCCATAATCGAGCATCCCTAGTGTGTGTGTGTGTGTGTGTGTGTGTGTGTGTGTGTGTGTGTGTGTGTGTGTGTGTGTGTGTGTGTGTGTGTGTGTGTGTGTGTGTGTGTGTGTGTGTGTGTGTGTGTCTCTGAGAGAGAGTGACAAGAGCTATATTCAGAGCTCTGCTGCCTTGGCTACACTATTTCATCGTTGCTGTTGTATGATTGGTGTTTAGCTGCGGTATTTAGCATCTACAGCACCTCCGCTTTTAGGGTTGACGTAGACCCAAACTTCGCCCGGAGGTCCCCCGGTGTTGTTGCGGGAGCTGCTGCACTAGCTGCTGCTCCACTAGCTAACACTCCACTAGCTAACGCTACATTAACAAAACAAATACTAATTTATTTTGCAAAAGGTGCAGCGGGCTTCAAACACGTTCCCCTCCACTGGTTTCAACCAAGCACTAAATTAGATGTTTTCCAACCAAATACGGTTGAACTTACACTTCCCCATATTTATTTGTAAGTAGATTTGAAGATAGGCTACATGAGCTGAAGCTTGGTTGCTAGGTTACTAGCTGGGTGTTCTCCAATAAGGGGCCGCGGGAAACAAAGTTAGTGATTACTGGTTCCATGTTGATTTAATTCAATACAAATTGTTGGGGGGAACTGAAAGGCTATTACCGTACTGGTTACTTTGCAGCCCGGACATTTCCCCCAAAACACATTTAGACGCTATCGCAACATAGAAGTACCTTTCAAATCCGATAATTTTTAAGACCTTCTGAATCATATTTAAGACCTTTTTTAAGGCCTTACATTCTGATTATCAAATTTAAGACTTGTTAAGACCCCGCGGGAACCCTGATTGTAACTTTTTTTAATTGTCTGAACTTCTCCCACCTCTGACAATAAATCCTGAGTGGTTACCCAAAAAAAACCCTTCTCTGAAGGTTATTTTCATTTTACAAATCCTGCACTCAGCTTTGCTTTCTCCAATATCATTGAAAAGCAGCCAGATGCTGCTTCTTTTTTCGGTTTTCGCTCATTTCTTGACTTTTTCCGACGCGCTTGCATTTAAATCCGACTCCCCGTCTCCCCGTCGCTCTGTGCAGCTGGCCTGTACCACTTTCACATAATGATATGATCCTAGTGTGTCCTCGCATATGATTGGCCGCATGGTGGCCCAGCTAAATAAAGACCCGCCCCTGCCTGCAAGGATTCTCAGCAAGAGTAGGAGCGGCTGAAGATTCTGCTTTCCCCGACGGGAGTCTGCTCTTCTAGCGGCAGCTCGCGATCGGCGTGTTGGAGACCTCTGAATTAAAGTATCAAGTCACCTCAAGTCAGAAGGATCAAGTCCAAGTCAAGTCCCGAGTCATTGGTGTTCAAGTCCAAGTCGAGTCGCAAGTCTTTTGTGATGTTGTCAAGTTGAGTCTCAAGTCATAAAATGTGTGACTCGAGTCTGACTCGAGTCCAAGTCACGTGACTCGAGTCCACACCTCTGGAATCTGTCATCACAGGTAATCTGCTGGTAGCATGTGAGGTGCTGGCCTGTAAAGAAGAAAACAAAATCATCTCAATTTAGTATTCAGGATGAGTAAATACTATTTGGATAAATATCGTCTGAAATCCCAAAAGATGGGGGCTAAAACTCTCTATTTAGCAAAGCTCTTTGCTTAGCCTTTTCCAATCTGAGTTCGTTTTTGAACCGTAACGTGCATGCTGTGTTTCTGACTCAATACAGATGATGTGTTGGAGAGGGGCTGAGCTCAGTAGACTGACTGTAATGAGTGCTAGCCACTAATTAGCCTGTTGCTAGGTAAGGCCTCGTCAACAACAACAGACCAACGGGGCTTTAGTTCTGTTTTACTCATGGTGTGTGTCCCCCCTCACATACATACACACAGTGTTGTATCCTAACACATCCCCATTTATATTCATGTGCGTAAACAAGTAAACATACAAAAGCTTTTACATATAACGCTGGAAAAAACGGCATGTCTCATTAGCGTAGCGTAGCTTAGCTTACAGATCTGATCGTTCTTACAGACTACAATCACAAAAGCTTTTACATATAACGCTGGAAAAAACGGCACTTACCTACAGAAGATTACGTTTGTTATTATAACTTACTCAATATGATTTTAGAGGATACAAAATACTAATAAATAGGAGAATAAATACTTGTGTTATCGGCTAGGGCGTGGCTTTACAGCCTTCACACAGATCGCCATTATGGCAGTATGTCTGAACATGTTAGAAAATGCCTGATAATTAAAATAAAAGACAAAGCAAAGACTGCGGAGCGTACAATATAAAATGTTATAAAAACATATAAACACCTAACCGATTACTATTTGGGTTTGAGGCGACATTGATACGGCAAAGCTACATGCTACATGCTACATACTACAAGCTAGAGATAGCTTTATCAAAAAAACACCGCTAAATAAAAACTTACAGCTTCAAAATTGGATGTGTCCTCACTGGCCTGCTCCCGGATGGTTGGTATTGATCCCGGGTTTAGCATTAGCTTAGAGGCATATCCGTGTTGGACTTGAGAGAAGTTCATAAACATGTCCGTGGTAAAATGTTTGGAACACACAAACAGAAATCTGCCGTGGTCTTCTGGCACATGTCCCTTGAAAATGAAGTCTAGCCACAGATTATTTTCTTTTTCCACTGATGGCATTGCATGCAGTCCCCCTTCTCGAGTCTTGCAGCCAACAACAGCACAAAGTTTAACTCGCTTAGACATCCTGGCAAGAGCAGACAAAAACACAGATGTGACTGGAGTTGATTTAGCCTGCCGATAGCCTATATGCGAATGAGAGGTTTGGCAATGCACGTGGCCGTGGCTCATTCCCCTGATAGGTGGAGAGTTGACCAATAAGCGGAGCACGTCTCTTCGTGACGTAGGAAAGTGTTGAAATCTGGATCCGTTTTTTTCAGATCCGTTTCAGCCCCTTTTTTAGAGATTTGGCGAAGGAGGAAAATAGAGAGGGTTGTGTTTTCTGACACTTGGTGAGTTCCCTGGAACACCGGGGACACATATTCATGTATAAAAGACGTCCAAAGGTGCATTTTGCATGATAGGTCCCCTTTAAGCATGTTGACTGTTGTTTAACATTACCGATATCTAAATGCTAATTTCAGTTAGCGCGTCAATGACGTTATCCATTATATGTTAGCATTGAGCTAGCGGACTAAGCGCTAGTTATTTGGCAATTCACAACGCAGGCTGCTTGGAGGTGTGGCGGGGCACAATGGTGCCACTTTCACACCAAGCCCCCAGGAAGTGCGCCGGTGTCAGTACCAGATATGTTCGGGCTACCAGATATGTTCGGGTGTATTTCCGTCGCATCCGTCATCCGTCATATTCGTCATATTTTACGGAAACTCAAGAGGGCCATCACGGTCAAATTCCGAACATTTAAACATAGCCGACACTTCATTCTTTACTTTGTCCGTTATTATATGTAGAAGATTATACTTTTTCTCCGTCATGTTGTTTCCTTAGCAACAACTTCAAACAGGCATAGCCTACACTTCATTCTTTACTTTGTCCGTTATTATATGTAGAAGATATTAATTTTTTCTCCGTCATGTTGTTTCCATAGCAACAACTTCAAACAATAACAACTAACCGCTAGCCGCAAAGCTAGCTTCACAGCCACTGCTCCGTTTTCGGAGACTTTGCACACGTTTTTCACAAACATTTTCACACGCTAGGAGTACTTCCACTAGCTTCGTATTGATCTGTAGATGTGATTTGATGTGTCGTGTGTCCCCCAACTCCTCTCCAAAGTTCAGATATATAATAAAATACTCAGGGGAGTTTCCTGAATTTTCATGCCCAAAGCCAAGCACTAAGCCCTGGGTAAATTAAGAGGCTGATCTCGGGCACTTTTGTCCACTTTCCCTGGTGGTCGAAACTCAAGCCAGACATCCCTGGAATCGTCTCAGATAGTAGATGATCAGTGGGGCCTTGTTTTTACTGAATGATGTGTTTTTTTATGATGAATTCAAATATGGGCTTATTTTTAGGATTTTCGGAGACTTTGCACACGTTTTCACAAACATTTTCACGCTAGGCGTATGGGAGTACTTCCATTCGCTTCGCCTTGATCTGTAGATGTGATTTGATGTGTCGTGTGTCTCCCAACTCATCTCCAAAGTTCATATACTATATACAAATACTAAAAGGTAAATAAAACATTAAACATGACAAAATAACAACCTGAAATATATGTATTCTATCTACACATTTCGTTTATCTAATCTAGTGGCCTGATAAAAGTGTTGGCTAAAGTAACGCAGAATATATATATTTTTTAATTGTAAATAATTAGAAACATTATTTATGTGCACAAGTACATGGGACCACACCATAGCACCCCACACATAACAAGCTGTCCCGAGTTCCTCCGGCTGCAGTTCTGCAGACGGCCGGTGTGTGGCAGCAGAGCGCTGGGAGCAGAGGGAGGTGAGTATATGACGGATATGACGGAAGACGGATGCGACGGAAATACACCCGAACATATCTGGTATCCCGAACATATCTGGTACTGACACCGGACTCTGAGGAGAACATTCGAGAGTTATTTCCCTCGGCATTATGAACGCACATCCAACCCACGGGACCTCGCCGCCCGCCCGGCACCTTCATGTGACGTGTTCTGTACTACATGCGTTTTACCCTTAACCATAGACTGTATATATAAAGGTTTTACCTTTACCCATGGATGCACAATAAGAACGGACCCGTATCGCCTTACCGTTCGGGTGTTCAGAGCAGAGCTCCCTGTTGGAGCGGCAGAGCGTGATGTGAACAGAAAAATGTTTCTGTCGCAATATTATTTAAGGAATCGTTGAGCTAGCTAACTAGCATACATTGTCACTATCTGCTAACATTAGCTTTAGCTTTCGTTTTCTAATAGTTTTTCTCATAGGCTATAAACAGAATAGATCTTGTACTTGAGTAAAAGTAGAAGTACTCAGATATTGTACTTGAGTAAAACAGAAGTACTCAGATATTGCACTTGACTATAAGTACTCAGATCTTGTATTAGAGTAAAAGTAGAAGTACCAGAGTGTCTGTTACAGTAAAATTCCTGCATTCAAAATGTTCCTCAACAAAAAAATGGGTTCAGAATATTACAATGTGTGATTATTCTAATAGCTTAAAAATACATGTGTAGATGCTCTGATACAGGGAAACTTGATAGATCAAATTAATTAGCAACATTAAAATATTCTGTTTAATCTTGAGTAATAACAAATGTCTAATGTGAATGATATAATTATACATTAGCCACTGGTGCTGAATGCGTTCTTCTTCATATGCTTTTGTTCATATTTAGTAATTCTATATTGATCTTTAACATATTTTCCCAGGGACTGCAGCTAAGGCAAATTGACATGCTGCAGGATGGCGTGGCAGGAAGCAGTCGCACGCTGTCAAAAATTAGCCTGAAGTTGAGGAAGGTCTGCAAGAGTGCAATCAAGAGGAGAGAAAGGAGGGGAAAGCAGAGACTTGGAGGACCAAACAAATTTGTCATGCTGGACGAAAGCAACTTCTACCACAAAAGGAAGGTGTGTATAAACTACAGAGCCTTTGGCCTCACTAAAACTAAAACCTTTGTTTTTCAAGGTGAAATAACAACATATATTTTAAGGTCAGAGATTAACAAATGAATGAGCAAAGTAATGTAATTGTATAATTGTGTCATTCACACCCTTGTGACTGGCGAGACAAAGTATACATTAGAGAGAGCCAGCTCCACAGTGTATACACAGTCAAATAACAGAAAAAAAGAATTTAGAAGCTAAGAATGATCTCATCCAATCAGATCATTAAAGGTGGGGTAGGTAAGTTTCAGAAACCGGCTCGAGATACACTTTTTGTTATATTCCATGGAATGCTCTTAACATCCCGATAGCAATGAATATCTTAAGTGCTTTGACAAAAAATCCATAAAAAAATGTCCTCTGTAGAAGCCGTAATACTGTAAAAAGCCGTAATACTGTAAAAAGTACAACCAATCCGTTTAGCCGGGCCGGCTAAACGGATTGGATGGCCTACCTGCCTGTCAGCCTTCCATCGGGGCACAAACTTATCTCGTGCCCTCATTGGTCATGTGCACGTTTGTGTGTGTTGGAGGAGGGGCTCTGTAAGGAAGTGGCAGATTTTCTCCGGTTGTGTATTTTCAAATTCTAGCGATCTCGAGCCGGTTTCTCAAACTTACCTACCTACCCCACCTTTAACCCTTAAAGACCTAGACGGAATTTTCGCCTGCCTGACTCTCCTGTATTTATTTGTTTCTCCTAACCTGTTCTAACCTTTTCTTGCAGTCAGCATCAAGTGCCTTACCTCATTTGATTCAGGAGAACCTCTAGTTCAAGTCTGGCTAATTTGAAGTCCAAATTTTACCATAACTTTGTGTGATAATGGCTGAATTTACCAGCACTTTTCAAAAACGCCAGTACAAATGTTGTGTTTTTTTACTGTTTACTCCGCCAGGAACATAGGGATTTTCTTTTTTATTATTTACAAAGCTGCATTTAGATGTTTTAGGCTTTCAAATTAAATTTCATCTGCATATTATGTTCCCTGAGCAAGTTACAGCTATTTATTACAATATTATCCTAGGCGTTTTTCACTGAAAAACGCCTAGGATCATATGGAATAATTAAAACGAAATGTATTTCCATATTTAAATGACTGATCATGTTTCTTCTGTCAAAAAAAGGTTGAGAGTAAACAATTAAACCATAACAGATGACATTGCAACAAAAATAACTTGTTTCAGAGATATATATTATAATTTGAACATTGAAATACAAACACAAACAGTGAAACAAATTCAAAGTGCAAATTAACAAAGTGCAAATTATATTAAAACTATAAACAAAGTATTAGGAATATATAGAAAGTGCAAAAGTACAAAGAGCAAATGATCTTCAAACTATAACCAAAATATTAGAAAAATATATAAAGAGCAACGGAAATGTATCAAGATTCATCATGGTCTGGGTCGCTCAGATGTACAGCTCTGCTGATTGCCATGAACCTGTCTCTTGTCATGACAGAAGCAGGAAAGAGAACACTTAGGTGTGATCCCTTCCTCCAGTAGTCTCTTACTTTGAGCAGTTTTAGAAGTGCCATGAACATCATAAGGCCGACATACATGAGGAATTTTACCGGCTTTCCCAAACAAACTTTTCCCCCTTAGCCTGCTCCTTTTCAGCATTTTTGTTTGTGTTCTTGCAGATGATATTTACAGCTTGGTTGTTAAAACAATTTCTAAATATTTGTGCAGGAGTATACTCCACACCAACAAAACCTTGGACTCCAGGGGCTCTTTTCGGGCAAAAGTGTGGTAGTTGTTGGGCAGTATCTGGCACCTCAGGTCCGTTCCAAACAGCTCCTGGCTCTTCTGGGGTCAGAGATGTTTTTTTCCCTTTCCCTCTTCCTCTCCCTTTCACTGTCAGGGGGGCTGCCATTGGTTTGGCCTTTTTTCTGGATGCTGCACCCTCCTGGCCACATTCTTTTCCCTCTCGGTTTGAAGGAGGCCTACTGATGGGGACAGGGGCTTGTGCATCCCCTCTCTCATCCTCTGTACTAAAATAAAAGGGAGGAAAATATACAGATATAAATGTCTGAATTTATTTTATTTCCTTTATTGCTTTTATTTCTCCAGTGTCATCCTATCTGTTTTCTAAACACAGTCTCAACTTTTGATTTGATTCACACTTTATCCCTCTGCTAACATTACTAGTTGATGGAATCAGTAACTGAATTGTAATGCAATGAATATAATAACATTAGACCTCATAACAAACAACCAAAGAGGGCAAGCGGAATGAGGCAATAAATGAAAGGTATTGCTTGACGTTTTTTTACTGAAATAAATAGTAGCCTCTATTGATAGTGAATCTTGAGCTCAGGACTTCACTTTATGACACAATTACGGCAAATGGCCATCCATTATAAAAACTCTTAGGACTAATTATTTTCGGCGTTATACAGCAACAACAACCGATAAATGCAACACAAACAATAAGAAATAAGCAAAGTTACTCACTTTTTTATCTTCGAAGGGATCAATCCCGTGATCATACTCCTCTTCCTTGCCAGTTGTCAGCTTCAGAATCTGAGGAATCCACCGCTGCATCGCTAAGCGGTCCGCCAGACAAAATAAATTCTACGGTTTCTTCCGTAGTGTAACGCCGTTTTGACATGTTGGTTTGAATTTGTCTTGGGATATGTGTGTGTGTGTGTATGTATGTGTATTTGTGTGTGTGTGTGTGTGACTGTATCTAGATATCTCGTGTTGTATTTATTTCTCTTACGCTGGCAGAATTACTCTTCTTTAGTATTACTCTCTCGTCTTTCTGTTTCTCTTTGTTTATCTCCCGCCGCCAAAAACATACACAGCAACCTATGTTGATTGGTCGAGAAGATGGTAGCATGGGCAGAGGTTTGCCTGGACCTTTACATTTTAAACCTATCCGGACACAGGGGGGTGGGACTTAGTCTAAAACCTTTGCTGTTTGGCTCAGACAGAGGGGCCGCATGGGTCTCCTTGACGAATCAAGGCTGTAAAATGTGATAACGTTGCCCCGATCACGTCGGAGCCTCTAAATCCCGGAAAAGGACATAGTGATACCAGCAAAAAGCCTAGAATAGCCGCTTTACCTCACTTTTTAAATCAGATGGATAGAATTAGCGGTTAAAAAGTTATTAAGCATTTTAGAACGCTACCTCTTTGAAGCCGCGGGCGGCTCGCTCGGCCTTTAAGGGTTAAGGAAATAAATCCTTATTCTTACTTTTTATTACTAACATTTTAAAAGTGCATAATCTTATTTATATATCATCTAATTACAATATCTATCTTACATTTTCATGTTTCTTGCAGGCGTGTGGTGCAGTGGGTTGAGCGTTGGTGTTCGGATCAGGGGGTCACAGGTTCAAACCTCACTGCAGTCAGCATGTCGTTGTGTCCCTGAGACACTTCACCCCAAATTGCTCCTGTGGGGATTGTCCACAGTATTGAGTATGTAAGTCGCTTTGGATAAAAGCGTCTAACAAGTGACATGTAATGTAATGTAAAATAAGCAAACTTTAACTTAATAAAATTAAACAGCCTTTTCTGTTTCTACCACTACATTTTAATTTTTTTCTCTTCTTTTTTGAGAAAGGAAGTGAATATTTTTAAATTGTAAAAGAAAGCAAATAAACACATTTCACTTTGTTTATCAATTGAAATTCCTGATGTTTATTTTTATATAACTGTGTTGTCCTTTTTCACTGCTTCATTACAGTATGGTAGGGGAAGATTCGGTCCTACGTGGAGGAGGAGAAAATGGGTCTTTGGAATGCTGGGCATCAGAGGAAAAAGGAGAAGACCTATCCTGAGGCTGGTGAAACAAAGATCACGGCGCCACTTAATTCCTCTGGTCACAAAATACGTTCGCCAAGGGACCACGGTGATAACGGACATGTGGAGGGCATACACCACTGCAATCGCAGAAAGTGGCTTTGTCCATTTCTCTGTGAACCACAGCCGGTCATTTGTGAACCCAGACACAGGAGCCCACACCCAAAACATTGAGCGGGCTTGGTCAACGTACAAGTCACAGGTCTGGAGACTGCGAGGAAACCGCACAGTGAAGACTCTGAAGAGTCATCTTGCTTTGATCGAGTGGACACATTGGCTGGCAAATGAACACAAAGATGGCAGATTGCTGCATGACATACGCCACTTTCGCAAGTTCTGATGCAACCTCGTTTTCATTATTAGTGTCCTTTGGATTGTTGTTTAAATAAAAATGGAAACTTGAGTGCACAGGGTTTGTTTGTTTGTTTGTTTACTGCTTAAGGAATGGTAAGGTAATCATTAGGTAAAGGGTAACTACTGTTTTTGATGCATTACTTTACTTGAGGGGACACACAATGCTTAACGAATGGTTAAGTAGGCATTAGGTAATGGGTAACTACTGTTTTTGATGCATTACTTTACTTGAGGGGACACACACTGCTTAACGAATGGTTAAGTAGGCATTAGGTAATGGGTAACTACTGTTTTTGATGCATTACTTTACTTGAGGGGACACAATGCTTAACGAATGGTTAAGTAGGCATTAGGTAATGGGTAACTACTGTTTTTGATGCATTACTTTACTTGAGGGGACACACAATGCTTAACGAATGGTTAAGTAGGCATTAGGTAATGGGTAACTGTTTTTGATGCATTACTTTACTTGAGGGGACACAGTGCTTAACGAATGGTTAAGTAGGCATTAGGTAATGGGTAACTACTGTTTTTCATGCATTACTTTACTTGAGGGGACACACATTGCTTAACGAATGGTAAGGTAAGCATTACTTAATGGGTAACTACTGTTTTAGTAACGGTAAGGTAATCATTAGGTAATGGGTAACTACTGTTTTTGTTTGCGTTCCTTGAGTTTACGTACCCAAACGGCCTAAGTAATGGTAAGGTAAATCGGATCCACCTCCACCAGTTGATCCAGGGTGGGACCCAAGCCAGCCGAAGATGGCAGGTTTAAATGTGCCCTGCTGCAGCGGACCATTGCTTCAATCAAAGTCTCCCAGGAACTCCTCATTAAGTAACCATTAACGAATGATTCATTAATACAGTACCCCAGTCTGTTTACCAGTAGCTAAGCATTAGTTCACTCAGGAACTCCTCATTAAGTAACCATTAACGAATGATTCATTAACACAGTACCCCAGTCTGTTTACCAGTAACTAACTAACCATCCATCGCAGTCACTGAGGAACTACTCATGAAGTAACCATTAACGAATGATTCGTTAATACAGTACCCCCCAGTCTGTTTACCAGTAACTAACCATAAGTTCACTGAGGAACTACTCATTAAATAACCATTAACAAATTATTCGTTAATACATTACCCCCAGTCTGTTTACCAGTAACTAACCATCAGTTCCTCATTCGCAGTCACTGAGGAACTACTCATTAACTAACCATTAACTATCTAGTAGTTCCTCAGTAACTAAGCAGTAACTAAGCACATTTTGTGTACCTTATTGTAAAGTGTTACCAACGCGTCCACCCCCAAGGGTGGGTCGTCGCTCCGAGCCACGGAGAACCACAGGGCACAGTGGCTGTTTCGCCGGCTGGGGAACAGATCCACTTTCGCTCTCCCGAACTGGGCCCAGATCTGCTTCACCACCTTCGGGTGAAGCACCCACTCGCCTGGCAGGGGGCCGCCCCTCGACATGAGGTCGGCTCCCCCGTTCTCCAGTCCCGGGATATGGAGGGCTCTCAGAGATAACACCACCTCTGAAGCCCATAACCACAGTTCCTCCGCTGTGGTCAACAAGGCGGCGGATCGAACTCCGCCCTGCTTGTTGATATAAGCCACTGTGGTGCTGTTGTCGCTCCTGACCATTACATGTTCCCCCTGAATTAGGGGCCTGAAATGCCGGAGGACTAACACTACCGCCCGTAGCTCTAGGAGGTTGCTGTGTCGAGACTCTGTTAGAGCCCAGTGCCCACCTATAGCCCTCTTCAGGCAGGTCCCTCCCCATCCTGTTCCGGATGCATCCGTGAACACTGATGTAGGAGGTCACCCGTCCCAGTGGAGACCCCCTCCGGAGGTGATCCGGGGACCCCCAAAACCGGAGGTTGCCCCTCACTGTGGGGGGTATGGTCACCAGCCGCCGCTTGTGCCTCTTGGGATCCAAGCGCAGGCTGGAGAACCACCTCTGCAGGCGGCGCATATGTAGTAACCCTAACGGGACCATCATGTGAGCAGCCGCCATGAGACCCAGCGTCTGCATGACAGTAAAAGCTGTCACTGTTGCCCCCTGTCACAGTCTGCGTACCCCCAGAAGAAGGGACGCACGTCTGCTCTCTGACAGGGTGGCGCGCAACGTGCCTGCATCGAGCACCACACCCAAATACAACGCCCGTTGGTGAGGTATGGGGGTGCTCTTTTATTTCCAATTGATCGCAAAGCCTAATCTGGTTAGGTGTGTGATCAATTGTGCTGTGCAAAACATTGCCTGTTCCTGTGACCCAGCCATGACTATGAGGTCGTCTATGTAAAAGAAAACTCTCATGCCGTGTGCGCGCAGCGGTTGAAGCGCTGTGGCCACACATTTGCTGAATGTGCGTGGGGATAGGGAATAGCCGAATGGCAGCCTGTTGTACTCGTAGGCTATTCCCTGGAAGGCAAAACGCAGATACTTTCTGTGCTTTGGAGCAATTTCTACATGAAAGTACGCGTCTTTCAGGTCGATGGTGGTGAACCAATCGCCTGGCTGCACCAGCCCCAGTAACTGTTTCATAGTTAGCATGCAGAATTTCCTGCGGGAAATGTGGCGATTCAGGCCGCGGAGATCTAGAATAGGTCTGAATTCCCCTGTCTTCTTGGGAACCAGGAAGTATATGGAATAAAGACCCTCTTCCCTGCGCTGAGGGCGCACAACAGACACAGCCTGTTTCTGCACCAGAGCCTGAATCTCTGCTGAGAGGAAACTCATCCCCTCTCGAGAGGATAGCTTCACCTCTCGCATGCCCATAAAAGGGGGTGGGACGCTGCAGAACTGGAGTGAATAGCCCCGTTTCAGCGTCCTGTCCATCCACTTTGATAGTTCACAGCTGAGTTTCCATTCCCCATAACACTGTGTTAAAGGGCATGCCCTCAGCTGTGGGGCCGCAGCTATAAAGCTGTGGTACTCTCTGGCGACCCGTCCCGCCGCAAAACTCCCCGTGAAGGGAAGATTCGCCCATGGAGGGTCGACACAGAAAGGGCCGATTATTTACTGAGGACCCTGAACGCACCGCCGCACGCTCATGTGTGAGCGCGCGCTCCCTCATAATGCCGTTTTCACCCTTACGGTGAACATCATTAATCGGAGTCCTCATAGGAGTAGTGCGTTCTACTAAGGTCCCTGAACGCACCGCCACGCACTCTTCTGTGAGTGCGGGTGCTGCCATAATGCAACTCTGGTAACCTGCATTAATTGGAGTCTTAACCCCAGGCTTAGTGTGTTCCCCAACAGCAATATGCCGGCCATAATGCCTCTGTACCCGTATAGCATTACGATAGCTTTGTTTACGTTTCATCACTCTCATCTGCGCACTCCCACTAGCCTCCTCCCTTACAGGAGCTATGGCTGGGGCGAGAGTGGGGAATCTGTACAGACATCATGTGGAAGTGTAGCATTGTGGAAACAAAGGACACTTAGACTTGGATACAGATCAACTTTTTCTTTATTTTTTTCAAAGGAATCTGTGCATCGAATAGGGAGGAGGCGGGATTCACCCTCGCGTCGAAGAGATTTCCTCCCCCCGCCGAGACGCTACCTCCCCCCGCCAGTCAGCTTCGGGCAGACGGCTCACCCCACCCGGCCGCTCTCTGCTGCTGAAGAGCCTGCCGAGGTCGGGCAGCCCTTCCCCGTGGCTGCCGATATGCCGGTACCTCGTGATGGGCCGTAGAGGTGGAGGGCGCCGCAGCTACGGGACCCCCGTGCCGGCGCCTCTCCTTCCGCTTCACTGTCGCACTGCGCTCCCTCGCCTGCATGGAAATGCGTGGAGGAGCGCGTAGCGGGGCTGGAGGCGGGGTCAGCGGTAGCATCCTGCTAAACTGGACCCTTTCCTCCTCCAGCCGGCTGAAGCGCAGAGTGACCGAGGAGATTGACCCAAAGAGCCTCTCCGTGGACACGGGGGCTCCGAGGAGATCTTCTCGGTCTTTTCTAGATAGAGCAGTGAGTCCCAACCACACGTGACGAGACGCCA